AAATTCCCTGATTATCATGTCACACTTATTTATAGTATTTCCGTTTTTAAATATTCCGTGATTTCTTTAAATTCCCTGATTATCATGTCACACTTATTTATAGTATTTCCGTTTTTAAATATTCCGTGATTTCTTTAAATTCCCTGATTATCATGTCACACTTATTTATAGTATTTCCGTTTTTAAATATTCCGTGATTTCTTTAAATTCCCTGATTATCATGTCACACTTATTTATAGTATTTCCGTTTTTAAATATTCCGTGATTTCTTTAAATTCCCTTTTTTAAATTATCTGCAATTCAACTCAATTTCAATACAATTGCAGTACCTTACATTATTTCCGTTTTTAAACATGCAGAAAATCATCGTCCCTGTAGTGAACCAAATAAAAGAATTAACTTTCTAAAATGTAACTGACCTTTGATTTTAAAAATCTATTTAAACGATGACTTGTCTATACTAGAAATAATATAGTAAAAATTCTGAAATTAAAGAATTATACTTTTATATGACTCAACTAAAATATCATAATTTCCTAATGAAAAAACAATTTTTAATAATTCAACTCATATTAATATGTTCAATGCTTAGCGGAAATATTGCTGAGCAAAATCTCCATCTTTTTAAACGAGATATCAATGAACCTTGCAAGGATAACCTAATTGTTAGGTACAATCCCGGGGGTAGCTTAAAGGGGGAAGGTTGTTATTATGCAAGTTATATTGACAAAACATTCAATGGTCTCTCCTCCCTCAATAATCTATCCACTATAACATTTGCCGATCCTTACACCGACCAAGGCGTAATGGATAATGGGTACTGCATTAAGCACTGTGCCGATTATCTGTTTAGTTTTGCTGCCATTGGAAATGGTTTGTTATGCAAATGCAGTAATGATGCTACTTTCCCAGCCTATAAAATTACTAACGAGACGCTAAGCGATGAAACCTGCAACGATAGTTGTACTTTTCCGGTCTCAATCAATAGTAATTCTACTTACCAATGTGGTGGAAAAAATGCTTATACAATTTATGAGGCCAAATACGACAAGAAGCCCGACATCAATATTAGGAAAAAGGTAGAAATAATCCATGACCAGAAGAAGGATAATCGTTACATTGGATGTATTCATGACAATTTCTATTGTGGCAAAAGAGCAATGAACGATGATGACAAAATTATTACTGATGAAAATTTGACGGTTGACAAATGCATAGATTTGTGCCGCGAAAGAAAATTTAAACTTGCGGGACTAGAAGCTGGTAATCAATGTTTTTGTAGCGACAGTTATATTGGTTTGGGTGGTATTCGAGATGAGCATTGCAGTTCTAGTTGTGTTGGCAACAGTTCCCAAATTTGTGGAGGTTCTTGGGCACTTAGTATATATAATGTTTCTCCTCCTCCTCCTCATAATCCTCTTACGCCAGGTGCAATATTTGGTATAGTGGTAGGATCACTAGTTTTTGTAGCGTTAGTTCTCATAGGATTCTATTTCCTTCGCCGTCATTGCTGCCAACCTTAGCGGGAAGGAACTAATCGGCAACTTAAAACTAGAAAACTTTGCTAATTTAGAAACTTGAAAATAATTCTACACAGAAAGTGCAAATTACGTTTAAGTAATACATTTAATTAGAATAAAATTATAGGGACTCAGAGAACTAGACTTTAATATGTATAAATTTTCTTAACTTCATGTATTATCTTCATCTTAACATCTTATTATCTTTACTACTAATCACATAATTATCTACTAAAAAATATCTTGTAAAAATAACTATTGTAATAATCACATAATTATCTTACTAAAAAATATCTTGTAAAAATGACTTTTGTAATAATATTAATATTAATTATAATATAACAATAAAGTATATCAGATTGGATCTTAAGTCTAAACGGTAGCAAGAGTAATTCTCTTACTGACATCTTTTTAATTAATTAACTTAATTAATTACTATCTTATCAGGGGGACGCCTTTGCTAAGTATAGCTGTAAATATTTAAAATACTTATGTTCTCCTCTATTAGTCGTGTGACAAAAAATCAAGGGGCAAGTTTGTTTTCCGAAAAATTTCCGGTGATCTGCACAATTTTTTATTAATAAAATTTCGAATTGAATGTTGCTGTTTAGCAAGTGCCACCAAATTTGATATATAACTTCTTTCTCATATGTATCTGCTTTAAAAAAATTTTTGAAGCAAGTTGTTAATAAAACCGAAAATAATCTCAGCCTTAAAGTCAAATTTTGACTTTGTATTCATATATATAGGAATTCGTTAGTGCGTACAAAGATAAATTAAAATGCCTAAATATTATTATTATAAATATTACAGAATCGCGTTCATTTTGCTTTCTAAGGTATGTCTTTATACTATCATTTATTTTATACAAAGTATGGTTATACTAATATTAATATATGAATAAATTTTTTTTTTTAAAATAATTGTAGAGACAAAACATTTCATAGTAAAACTTTATTATGGTGTGAAAAATGATCAAGATTTTTTATAAGCAATAAATCATACTGATATAAGGAGTTGATGGAATTAATCAGATACAAGAATTACAGATAGAGAGGTGTTGTATGAGTTTATTTAATAGATTTGATGATAATAAAAATTGAAATGTCAAAGGCTAACTAATCTCAATTCATGAATCCCTGGAAGAAAGTATTGGATCAATACTATATACAATCAAACCTTGTTCTCACTAGTAACGTGATTGTAACAAATTTAATTATTAATTCTTATAGTCAATAATTATTGAAATTTTTACTTGACAGACCATGACCATGTTATTGGTAGGCACCAGGTGCTATTATTATTAAATTGTTCAAAGGTGGATTTTTAATCATTCGAGTAAAAAGAATTTTTTTTATTTGTGAATAAATTCATTCATTCATTCATATATATTAATATTTTTCTTTTTTTCACATTATTTTTTTACATATTAGAAACAATAATACACCATTAATTGTAATGAAGATAATAATAATATGTTGATGGCCGCGTAACAATGAATGTCAAGTTATTACTTTGGTATTCGCGTAACAATAAACCATTATTTAAATATTTGATAAATAAATAAATACCTTTTAATTTATAATAATAACTAATTTGATTGCCTCTAGTATAATTGTTATTACAAGAATGTATCAACTAGAATTTTGATGTTGAATTTTCTATCTATAAATAATTAATAATAAATATAATATGATCGCGTAACAGTTCTTTCTGATCGTACACTGCTAGATCTAAAAAAAAGTAATGAATAATTAATAGTATAATAGATATAATAAATAAAATACAGTCGTGCAATTCTTTCTGATCATACATCACTAAATATGGCCACATAACAATTCTTTCTGATTTAACCATTAACCTTTGGAAAAAGAAAATCTCCTAGATGAATTGAGATAAATAATACCTTTTAATATTAATAATGCCACTCTCCTAGACAAATTGAGATTTTAATATTAATAATTACATTCTCTCCCAGATAAATAAATATATAAACAATAATTCTTTATAATATAGTTATTCATTTTTTCCTATAATATTTATTACTTACTTTCATAAAATAATAGATTGTAAACTTGGTTTCTTTTTTTAAAAAACTTTTTTTGAATCCAATCTGCATAAAATTCTTGACATGCTATTAATTTCTATAAAATAGTTTTTCGCGAACCTCTCTAAAACTTATTAACAAACACCCCCCATAAAGTAATGACCATATGAAAGCTTAGAGTATTTTACACCTCTTCAGTCACTATCAGGTCTTTTAAAGCGACATTGAAAAATAATCTGAGCTTTGAAGTGAAATAATTTGAAAGGACATGTCACACGACTGCTAAAGTATGTTTTATATAACTGCATATAATGGCCAATGATCATGATCTGAAATTACAATTGTTAAATTAGGAAATTTTCTGCAAATCAAATTATTAGCATTTATATTTCTCTGTTACAATATATTTATTATTTATCAATGACAATCCATCTGTCAAAATTATTTCACATATCTATCCATTATTCATTATCTTTATTTCATATCTTCATAAACATTATTTAATACATATATCATTATTACTTCATTATCCGGAATACATTGAATTGACAAAATTAATGAAAATAAATCTACAAGTCATAATTTCAATAATTAATCCAACTGAGGAAGACCAAAATCAAGAAGAAATAATTGAAGAATTTTCACCTGTTACAAATAAAGAAGCTTTATCAGCAATGAAAACATTAGATGTTTACATTGAGCAACAATCTGAAAAGTTGCAATTAAGTGAGAACGAATTTAAATCATTAAAAAAGCCTTAAAAGAAAAATTAAAAAAATCAATTTTGATTCACATCAACAAATATTGCTATAATTGTTTTAATTTGTAAATATGCAAATGTTTCTCCAATGCATCTATGACGTCCTGTGAAAATAATAAATGTATTATTACTAAAATCTATTTATTATAGTAAATTTAATTAATAATAACCATAGTTTACCTGCACCAAATGGAATAAATGGTGATTTGGCACTAGCAGAATGCAAAACACCAAATCCATAATCCACAAGATCATCATTCCTTTCCTTAACTAAGTTGCTCTTATCAAACTCCTCCCATCTACCAGGATTGAATGTCTGTGCATTTTCAAAAAATTCATCTGAACATGCTGAAACCACTGGAATAGCCTGGATGTAGTAATCTTTTGGTATGACATAATTTGTACCTGGAATTTTCATATCTCTAATAACTTTACGAATAATCGTAAGAATAGGTGGTCGTAAACGCAATGTCTCCCTAACAACATTGTCATGCAGTGTCATCTCCTTCAATGCCTCAAAAGTTAATGGAGCATTAAGTGATCCCAACACTCTGATTTGTTCTTGTCTTAATTTCTCAAATAATCCTGGACTCTGGGCAAGGTAAAGAAAAGCCCATGCACTTGTTGTAGAGCTTGTATGTTGACCTGCCATTAACATTGCAATCATAATATGTGCTGCTTCTTCATCTGATAATTTTTTTCCATCTTTATAAACACAATCTTTTGTCAAATATTGCATAATGTCTGTGCCATCAGTGACACCTCTTTCACGACGTGATTTCATTATATCCAAAAAGAAACTACGCATTTTAATGTGTGCTTGATCACGTAATTTGTTGGCTTTTGTTGGTAAATTCTCAAAAAGAAAATTTATTGGTCTAAAGCCACCATCAAGATCATGGAATATTTGTGCAACTAAGAAATTAATCAGTGAATTGAATGATAAAAATATTTGTAGAATATTTTTAATGATAAAAA